AGAGCTAATGCTAAGCCTGAGACCTACTGAGTTATGGCCCAATGGCTATCAGGGTCCAGCGGCTTCCTATTCCATGTGCATTAGAGCGGCGGCCTTCTGTTTTAGGCGCTGTCTGTGTGTGCCTCCGCAAGTGAAGGCTGCTTCAGGGGCAGTGGGGGTGTACAGTACAAACCTCAGTGAGGTGGGCATCTCCTCTGCACTGGATGAGGGTTCGAGGCTCGCAGGCAAGGTTTTATCACCTCTATACTGGTCAAACCTCTGATTGAAGGAAAAAAAAAAGCGTCATAGCATGCTATTGGCCCTGCTTGGTCACGAGACACACAGAGACAAATGTATGCATATGCCTTGTTAATCAGGACTGTTAAAACATCAGACACTGACTTCTGACACGTGTGTGCTTCTCATTGGTCAGAAGGCATGTTTACAAACAAACCAACGATCATTTCCTGTCTTTGCATGTATAAGAAAATCGTCAGGCCAGAACGGCAGCACAGAATACAAAGAAACATACATATTCAGCATACAGCATTTTTCCCATTTGTGCGCCTGTATCTTTACGACGTGCAGCAGAGAGGCAGTCAATCACTCTGGCAGAACCCAGCAAAAATTAGACTTTTCTTCACCAGGAGAGAATGCTGGCATTATTAATACAGACAGCACACTATAACATGAGACCGACAACACTGACAGCTAGAATCTGCTGCCTGCTGTTGTCAACAAGTCTGTATGGTCAACCTTGACCCAAACCCCTTGTCCCACTCCCCCCTAGGGTGGTGGAGCTCAGTACAACCCGTACAGGATTTCCTCACTCTACACAGTGGCCTATTCTTAGAGCCCAGTTAACTACTGTCCAGCTGTTCTCACTGTAATCACACTGAGTTTTGTGGGTCAAACACTCAACACGACCACAAGTGTTTTCAGCTAGCAGTGGGAGATGCTACACATTGCGCTAACCACACTGTGGAATCCTTCAATGCACGAGCTTCGTGGAAAGCTGACATGTCAATTAATCGTGTAAAACGTACATATAAAAAAACACTTCTTCTATAAGCCTTATTAAAAACAGGTCTGGATGCATTGAGGATTTGTCATCATGTGACCCGCTCCTAGCAAGCACATTGGTTGTTCACCACCACCACAAGAAAGCCAATGTGAGTGAGACTGGGCAGTCTGAGAAACATGCAGCCAATCAGACCGAAGTCGCCAAAAATGCAAGTAGGCAATAGGAGCTTCAGAGAGTCTTGCCCGTGTGAGATGTTGCGGTTTGGGTGTGCGGCAGCCCACAGTGAGAACGCTGTGGGATATACACCTTTACCGTCTACTTACTTACCTGTGCATGTGCCCATCGTACTACCAGTTTCTTGGACAGGGCCAACTTTCCGTTGAGGCACTGGATGGCTCGCTCAGCCTCCTTGAAGAAGGGCGTCATCGTAATCGCCATCATGGCGGTGACAAAGAAAAACGTGACATTGCCGGTATTAGCATCAACACAACGGAAATAAAGAGAAATTCATGCTGGTTTGAGAAAAGTACCCCCACCCACGCCACAGACAGACAGCAGCTCTTAAGGAAACCTAGAGCACAGGAGATTAAGACAGTGAGCACTGTTGCACCATTTCCAAATTCATTTAAAAAAATAAACAGAGAAAGCCAGCGTGTTTAATGAGTTTTCACAGATTAAACAAATGTTCGGCAGGTTAAATTTAGACAGCTGCCTTCTCCCCATGTAATGAGGCACTGTGTCAGTCTCTCGGCTTATTGCGTAACACCTCTCGAGCAACAGAGCGTTGCACTGCATCACACTGAGCCGTGATTCAGGGCAACAAATGCCCGATGACGGATCGTTTTTTTTCCCAGCAGCCTGAATGGCTGACATTCTCCTGCGAGAACAAGGCCACGCGGCACGTCCCGTTAATTTCATGCTGCGAACTCTCGTCAACTCCTTGCCAAATATTTCAAAAGAACGAGAGATTCTGAAAAACGTCAATAGCTGCATTTTTAAAGATGATTTTCTTAGGCGGTACAAGCGTGTGCGTGATTTGAGGGGGTGAGGTGGGGGTATTCATTCCAAAGGAACAAGCATCATTTCGTGTCAGAGGTAACAGATGCAGACTTGCCTCTTTAGTCTGGAAGTTGACAAAGCAATATCCCCTGGGCTGACCCTCCAGGGGTCCAGATTTATGAAACAGGAAGTCAAACTGCTTCACCTGCCCAAACTTCTCCAGGAGCTTCACAAGATGGTACCTGCAGGCAAAAATGCAGCTTGTTAACAGACGGCTGCATTAAGCTAATAGGCATGATGTTGATCTTTTAAAAGTGGACAGCGACTTGCAAATCAAAGAGAACACAGTCATTCATGTAGAGTCATAAAATAATAAGCAGCATGGTTTCAACACATACTGAATGGTGCCTTAGGTACAATGACAGGTCTTTACACCTTCCAGTAATGATAAATCTTTCAACAAAACAATTCAGAGGATACAGGAGGAAGACAATGAGAAAATAAAGAGGAGGAAGTCTGAATTCCCACAAGAGTACAAATATTTTAAAAATAATTAAAAAAAAAAAGCTGTACAGCTACTGTGCACTGTGAAGGCTGTACCCGCCCCCCCAGACAGCAGCCAATAGGAAGCAGGGAGGATAAACCCTCCCATCTGAGTATTACAGATCAGCCAATATTAATACTGCATACGTCTCAATTCAATGAATAGTTGAATACATATAATCAGAGCTAACCTACATGTTAAAATTGCTGCCATGTGATGATTTGAGACCCCATCTACTGTGTATTTTATATTAAAAAAAAAAACAATCAAAAATCAAGATTCTGTCTCCCAGAAGTCAACAAAAAGAAAGAATTCAAAGTTTTCCATTGATGTGACAGTTGTATATTGCTTGTTAGGTACTGATTCCCATCTTCGAACATTACCCTAGACATGGTTACAAAAAGTGTTCAATACTCATGTAAAGACAATTTTGAAAAAAAAAATCCTGGTCCAAACCACAAATATCCCTATTACTATTTTTTCCAAATTGTATCAAATGTAAGAAATCAATGAGCCTACTCATTTTCATACAACTTCAATACAATATCACAAAAAAACAATTAGCAAAACAAAACACATATTGGCTAATGCAATGTGCATTTGCATAATCATTTTTAAAGTAAGCTGCTTAGAATGTAATGTTCCCATGATGATTTATCTAGGACAATCTCCTGTTGCTTCACTTCGCCTGCAACACAACTCCATCTAGCGCTAACTTCCCCTGCCGGGACCATGTCACAGACTAACTGCCTACGGCATCCAGAAGAGCTGAGAAAATGACACTGTGCATGTTACTGGGAAGCAGGGCTTAGTGACTGAAATACTGAAATATATATTTTTGATGGTGAAAACTCTCTCCTTGTCACCCGCTGTCTGTAGGTTACACGGTGGTTCTGGGGAAATGTTATTTCATGACACTGTATACTAGGCCTGGGAAGCTGAACTTTTTAAGTTTTTAAAGACAGTGACACCGACCGTTTGAGAGGTTCTGGTTAAATATGTTTAAAGGGACACTCCATGTAAATAAATTTAAAAATAAATTGCATTGCAAAAATATGAAAAAGTATATATATTTTTTTTTAAAGATATTTTTATATTTTTGGTAAGAAAACATGAACTCTGGCATGTAACAACAGTTCAGGAGCAAATATTTTACAGCTGTCCACATCATATATTTATGAAATTTACACTGATCAACAAGTGTGAAACTTATTTTTCCAGTCTGAATTTTCTTTTGCTCTCTAATACGTGCATTACTGATGGACAGGTGTTATTCGCCAGTACTGCAGCCTTCTTCATAGAAATGGATCCATTTTTTCTAAAACTCACCACACTCTCAACTGTATCACCTTAAGGTGACCAATCTAATTTGTTGTGCTGAAATGTTTATTAATAGATCCTCCACATGAAATTTTAGCAGGGCAATGTCTGCAAAAGGTATTTCTAACACTGGTTTTGTTAACATTAAAATAATTCCACATAGCAGTCATTTTTCTAACTGTTTAGTATGCAGGGGTGCAAAGCAGTATAGTATACAGTATACTACAGTATAGTATACAGTATAGTACCACCATTACATGGGGAATTATTGGTTGTAAATACTGGCTCATTTGTAACCATTGGCTGATGGCTGACTGTTACTGTATCGGACAATATCAATAGTTGGCTGCTACAATTGGTGTATCTCCAGTTTAAAATATTGACATAATCGGTGGCAAAAATTCACATTTTCACATCAGATTTGTGAATACTACTACTGAAGCTACTACTCATCTTAACATGCATTTACTCATTTTTCTTTTGCCTAATGACCCTGTAAGAAAGGCAGAACAAGGGATCTGCCACTAGGGGCAGATTTCCATGAATTTATTCGGCTGACCGGGGGTGCGTTTCCCAAACGACGACGGAAGTTAGCATTAACGATGCATTGTACTATGGCAGTTCAAACTAATCAACATTCGAAGTACGACTGTTTCCCAAAACCATCGTACCACAGTAGTTTAAACCAAGTTAGTTTTTAACTACCGTAGTTCGAACTACAATGGTTCCAGCGATGACTGGTCTCACAGCGGGTCGTGCGCAACAACTAACAAACTTAATAATATCAATGGCCTAACTTTCACAGCCGGTTGCGTACAAAAACTCACGAGCTGTGCAATATCATATAAATATATAATAATCACACACACGTACACACACACGTCATCAATTTATTGTGTTGAGTCACATAACACTAATACAAAAAGCGCAGAAATAGCAATAGCGGCAAAATAATGAGACGCTTCTTGGAGTGGTAAACAGAAGAACTTTTATCTATGACACCTCATTTTGTGAAAGACGCTCCATCTGTAATTACGTTGACTGCAGTTCATTGTGTTTCAATCACACTACGACCACTTACAAATTCTTGGTCCGACGTTGTCGCTTACAGAATGTTAGTGGCTGACTGGAATATACAGGTGCGTATAATATCCAAACATTACAGTCGTCATTTCCCGAGTACAAAGGCATGGATTCGTATCTGACCACTGTAGTGTCATTCTACTCTTCCATTATGGCAATGACAGCTGTCAGTGAATAAGGAGAACTTCATCAAAGTGCTGTACTCTTTTCTAAGGTGACTGTTGTCCCTCTGAAGTTATGTGTGTAATGAAGAAACTGCACAACACCCAATGGTCTGCATAGGGCTACAAATACACACATGTACACATACAATGGATAATGATTTATTATTATTATTATTATTATTATTGGGTTTTATTCTTTTCTTTTTATTTTATTAATGTTTTTTTATTACTTTTTTTTTTGCTATATGTGGCGAAGTGTACCATATGGCACAATGACCGCTGGGTACACAACATCCTTTACCAAGCAATACACACAAACTGCATATACTATTACAGGGGTAGGCAGTCTTATCCAGAAAGGGTCGGTGTGTTTGCAGGTTTTTTTGGGATAACGGTTCGATCAGATGTGTGCGTACTCTTCAGTCGATCAGTCCTCTATGCACTACTCTAAGTAGGGAGTTGCAGCAAAGAGCTGCATGCCTAACGGCCCTTTCTGGATAAAATTAGACACCCCTGTATTAATACAATACTTTGCAGTCTGAGAATTCTCCCTGTTGCTCACTACAGACAGTTGCTGACTTGGTCGATCTAATGTACAATCATACCGTACTTATGACCAGAGAACCACAGAACAATTATGTTTCAAACTACATTTTCAGACAACTTCACATTATATGCGATCATAGAGCTAAATTATTTCTTATTAGGTATTAAAGAATCAATTTCTTACTTACACGGTGACTATACCTTTCTTAGACTGCATTTTCCATGTTAATATTGTGTTAATATTGTGTCCTCACTTAAGAAAGCAGCAGGCTAGGTGCCACCCTTGCTAGTATGCTGCACACGGGGGGCTTAGGCTGCTGCAGGGGAGGGCTAAGCCGGCAACATAATTGTTTAATTAGGCCTAATATTTGAATTTCTTCGAATGATATTACACTAAAAAAAATTCTTTTTAAAAGGTGTTTCCCAGTCCTACTGTCTACCTGTACATGAATGATACGTCGGTAAAGCTCACTTGACTTGAAATGAACAATGAACCAATACATAAGCACACAAACACTAACCACAAAAGTCTAGCATACATACTGCTATTCCTTAGCCAAAAAAATCCCATCAAAAGACACTCACTATTCCAAATAACGCAGTAAATAAGTTAGTGAACTTTTTCTCCCCGAGACGATTTAGCTTGCCCGAGAATAGCCTTGTGCAACTCGTACCAAAATTGTTATGATAGTTTCATTGTTTTGGCCGCGGTTATTTTTAATCCTGGAAAGGTATGAATGGGAGAAGTGCATCGCTGGGAGCGCGTCTTCCCCTTGCCTCCCTCGAGTTCTTTACGAGGAGTGTTCCTCATTTTCCCAGGCTCCACCCCTCCAGGCTGCAATGGGAGGGGGAGGGACTTTTCCTGTAACAGTGCAGATTTAGGAATTGATAGTACCCTGGAATGGAGACCATTTCTGGCTTTAAAACAGACCCTAGTGGGATTCTCAAGGGGGACATTAATCCAGACCAAAATATAAATCAAGCTGGAGGAAATCCAAGGAGTGAACCTCCACAACGCAGCTCCACGCCAAGGAGGAGAGCTGCCAGCAGTTTAGATAACACAACCTTGCCTGACCTCACCCTGCTGCACCATGTGGCAGTGATTCCCCTCTAAGTACATTGGTAACTTACTGGGGACACCAGAGGTGGACAGTTCAGTCCAGAAAGCAACAATTGACACCAAGATTTTGTTTCAGCCAGCTAGGCGAGTACAAAGAGTACTTAGCTGGTTGGTTGAAACGAGAGTTGTCAAAGTATTGAAAGTACCGGAAGTATTGATTCTATCATGTATAAAATGATATCAGCACATTTTTCACGGAATTTAATCTATAGCTTGCACTTCCGGTTCGCTCAGACCGCTGAGGCTCGCAGGCTCCCAAAGCGCACGCCCAGCCCAAAGTGCAGCCTCACACGCGGGGTGTTACTAAAGGTGCGCCAAAACATTCACCACTGTGCTTAATCAATAAAGAGTGTAGCCTAAGTGACAGGCTTTGTGGCAAAAGCAGACGGTAAACCATAAGACATATGCAAGTCTGTATGCAAGCTGTACCATGGCACAATACAGCCAAGAGGGCAAAAACCATGAATTTAGCTAAACGTTTAAAGGACCAACACACGACAATACAAAGAGCTTCATGAAACAGTTATGTTATTTCTGAATTGTGTACATATTTATCCGTATGGGCCTGTTGCGGTTGAAGTAGAGATGTGGCATTGCATTTTTTTTTGTAAGAGTTAAAACATTTTTGTAATCGGTTAAACATTTCTGCATTAAGACAAACGATTGGCAGTTATTTTTATCTGTAGGTCGCGGCCGGCTCCATGCGATTTCATGTTGATTAGTGTTGATCATTTGGATACAAATTTTTAGAGTTGTGCAATTGTTAGAAATGTTTGTGCTTTGAGACACAAGACAAAGAAAGCATGTAATGTATATCTGTTCTATTATACATTGTGATAATATAGTCATAATAAAAAGTAAAATATAATTTTTAATAGTGTTTAATTTATTCCTCGTTAATATCTCTGAATGTGATTAAGGCTTGATTACAATGACTATTGGCTACTACTATACTGTATATTATTTTGCTTTGACTGACAATGCAAAGTTTTTCTAAAAGATGGTAACATGAGTTTACAAAAGTTTACGGGTTTTACTGCAAACAAAACTACAACTGAGATTATTTTTTACTGAGTGACCTTATATACCAAGTTGAATAACGAAAATGGTATCAAATTTCAATAATTCTCTTGGTATCATATAGAAGTTTGAAATTTTGATATTGTGTCAACACAACCTGAAAAAAATTTTGGTCTGGATTTTTACTTTCTGGATCTCTAGAAAACCTTACAAAGGAAACCCACATGCTCCAGCCTTCGTAAATGTTCAGCCATCGTAAGATTTTTCAGGCCTGTAAAATGTACATCGATGTATAATAAAAATAATGGTAACATAAATACAGCAAACAACTGTTAAGCCTCAGGATTAACAGATATAAATTGGAGTTTAAAAGGCAAAACTCGAATTGCATCTACACAAGTTACAAAAACAGAGGCTGGAATCACTACAACCTGCAAATATTCAGTATGATGTATCAAGCTGAGCTGAGTCTTTCACCAGTAAAAACTGGTGCCAGGTGCCACATGTTTGAATAACAGTGGAAGAATCAGTGATACTGAGAGCAACGCAACACTCAAACCACAAGGGGATGCAGGCACCCTGAAGCACTGAAAAGGGACAGGCCCAAGTCTTTGGGGCAGAAGCACAGCTAAGTGGCAAAGCTAAGTGTCCGAGGCTGTAAAGCAGGGCAATATCACAGCCTACCCAGGCTCTCCTCAAGCCCCTCTCCTCTCTCAGGCTCCGCCTCATCTTTCAAACCCCAGTGTGAAAACACCAGGCTCATATCTAAAAATGCAGAGCCCCCACAACATACATGAAACCCTCCAACGAGCATAAACAGGCTTCGAATGACATGGCCCTTGTACATCTGGTGGGGGGTGGGGTGCCAATTAATTAATGCAGTTTTCAAAAAGTGGCCTAACTAGTGATCTGCACAGCTTCTCCTGTTATAATACACTCCACAAAATGTATTTTATCAATCACTAAAAGACCCGTTTTTCCCTTTTCCTCCATCGCCATCCATTTTTCAAATCAAGAAACAAAACAAGCTTCAATACAGAAATTAGGCAAACATTGTACTTCAGATTTCAGCACTGCCTTCAAAATTACTGTCTTTTTTAGCCCCCAAAACATTGTAGCTTGGTACTAAATGCACATGCAGATGAATAATAACCTTGTGAACCACAGGCTGCACAGCTGCGCGTTGCCTTCAGTGAGATCCGCAGTGGGCAGACTACAACAAACACTCCCTCTGTGTGGACCAATTAATCCTTCCAATCAGCAGCCTGTAGGCTTAGCTGTTGTGTTTATTGTACCCGATAAGGAAACAGAGGAGCTGGGTAAAGGAAATGTGTGTGTAATACTCGCCCAAGCAAGACTTGCTTCTCCCAGGAGTTAACAAAAAGAAAGAATTCAAAGTTTCCCAGTGATGACAATTACAGGCTAACATGCTAAACATGCCAGGTAAATAGAGAATGGAGAGCAGTGCTTTGTCTAACTGCTTTTCTATCAGCCTCTTCTGCCACATTCCCAAATCCAAAGAGGACACAGCTAATCAATCATCCTGGCAGTGCATCACGACAACAAAGCAGCACGGAAGCAGGGGGATGGAATTCCGGCCTCACTCTGTGATTTTGGGGTCGATGTTGCCGATCCACAGGCGATGTCCTTCTTGTGACGAGCTCTCCGACAGTATGGAGGCATTCTCCAGCGTCTCCGCTGTCGACTGCATGGGCTTCTGCAGTGAGACAGAACCAAACAATAACTTGTGTATTGTAACTGCAAACATAGTAATAAACCACAGGAATAATGCATAGATCAAGCCCCCCAGTCTGCACTAAATGAGTGGACCGCCTCTGACTGACTAAATTACCGCAGAGTTAATGATGTTGTTTAGTTTCTCAACCACAGATAAATAAAAAGAATAATTCTCAAACTGAAAAATGTGGGAGAGCAAACATCTGTAGTACAGACCACTTTAATATTATATACTGATTTTGAAACATTGTAAAAATGTCAACTTCTTCAATGACTGGCAGAACACTGGACTTAAGCTGTTGTACCTTTACCTTTAGTTTACTCTAAATTCTTAAAAAAATACAAAACAGAAAAAATAACATCAAAAGCTACGTTTAACTCGGACACCGTAACAGGTCAGTGAACCAGACAATCGTCTGCAGTCAAAACTCCCTAGCATAGGTTCAACATGTCTATTTCAAAGGCTTTGAATGGCATTCTCAAAATAAATGAATTACTACCCTCTTGTAGTTGTAGTTATGATGCGCAGATCACTAAACTGACAAGATGGCCACTTAAGCTGTAAGGTTAAAAGTTATCAGCTATTTAGTTTTAAACACGGATTTTAATGCAGTTTAAATTGTTAAATGTACAGAAATTTTCAAAATGTGTGTTTACCAAACTGACTTAATGTTTGTATAATATCAGTAACAAATAAGCCGCATAAAATAAAATAACCGTATACTGTTACAAGACATGGGAAATCACAAACCCAAATCAGACTTTATGCTACAAAGAATTCTGTTAAGTAAAGAAACGTCATAATTGCACGAATTTGATAGTTCCAGTCTACTGTCTCCACGCTACCATATTCGGGAATTATAAAGTTCACTGGATTATGATAATCAAACAAACTAGCTTGGCAGCTAAATTTAATTTGGAAAAAAAAACAGTTAACTTGGTTGCTTATTGCTGATAATAAGTCTTTTATTAAAACGACGTGGTCCGGTTTAGTCTATTTCAACCTTACGACAAGACATTGACGTTTAAGACGAAAATAGCTACCTAGCGGATCTAACTATCCAGTTAGTGGTCTGTGAGGTTTGCCGTCTTCTTTAGAGTCGCCCTTTGTTGACAGCCTTTTCACCGGGTTTTTGTACACCGTTTCATATCACTTCACAAAAACGACATTGAGAAATATTTGACGTTTGATGACTATATATCATCAATTAGAGCTACCTAGCTAGGTAGCTAGTAGCTCTCCGCAAACTACAAAATATGAACACCGGCGTGTACTAATGAGGTATTTTTCTAGCCAATCTACTTAGTCATAGAAACTGACCGTTGATTGGCCAACGTTAGGCGATGTCTTCGTCGCGGTGTGATGACGTAAGACGTACAAGATTTGAGAAACTCGCGGTGTTCACGAAACGTCTGAAGTTGTATAGTTCTAAGTAACTCCCTATTAGATATCAGTGTTGAGATTGTGGACCATTGTATACATATAAATGAACATATTTAGTATTTATAGAGATAACCTCTAACAACGAAAAGGTGACATCGCCATTTAATCTGAAATTTATCCAACTGCACGCGGCAGTTTACCGTTCTTGTACATCGACTATCCCTTGCGTGCATAGCATCTTTCACTCAGTGTAAGTAGCAATTTAATATTCATTAGTTAAAGATTCCGTTATCCCTTGAGATATTTCTCAGAAGTAATCGTGGTGCTCTATGAATGTTGTGAAATAACCGTCATACTAGATGTGCTACATATTTACTATATAATCGTGCGATTGGAAAAGAGAAACTGAGCGGGTATCTGAAATGTAAAAAAAAATGTAACGTAAAGGTTGTTTTCCAGGACGTCCTTCCACGGGATCTATACCGCGTGAAAGTGCTTTGACTTCCGCCACAATGTTACGCATGGTATTATGGGAAACCGGGAAGTCAAGCAGGGTCAAGGCATCGAGAATTAAAATTATTGTCTGAACAACTATAAATTTGTGGTTACGTTTCTAGAACTTAATTAACATTGCTCGGTATTTAATACAAGAATTTTCCCCTGGGATCAATATCGTTTATCTTATCTTATATGCCAGTTGGGTCACGGATAAGTATCTATGTAGCTGGATAATACAAAATAGGGAAAGAAACTTTTCCCTGCTTTTCGCCTTTTGTAACTCTGAGTCACTTTTTAGTAAAAGAAAATTGGTTTTGATTACTAACAATTTGCTAACTTAGGGAAATTCGTGCCATGCTCTCTCTGGGTGGCTAATTTGAAGAAAATTCTATTCAGATCCCAGAAAGTCTCGTTACAGATCAACTGAACAGATGTAATGTTAGTACGTGTCGCAAGAGTAGATGTCAAATTTAGGTTATATTATTGAATCACAAAGCAAAATGCTTTTGTTGAACAGTGAAAATTAATTTCAGTTGCAATTAGGGAGTGCAGGTGAAAGTACAATGTGTTAGCGCCATGCTGATTAAATGTCATAGGGCAAGGGAACTTGCTTCTCAGGAATAAATGCTCCTCTGACTAAATAACATTTTAACATATTTATAACATTTGTAAGTGGGGAAATGGCTCTACAGTTCTGTTTTTTTAAGTGCCATTCAGAAAAAATGTAACAAACTATCATTTGAATACAATCATATATATGACTGCAGGACTGGAACTTGAAAACGAAAAAATTATATAAAAATATAAATTTATATTAATTTACTATATAACTCATCATATTTATCACGGTTCTATGTCTCTGGTCTTTTATTTTGGTAGGAGGTTAAATGGGTGTCTTATGATGGTACCAGAGTGATGAATGTTTGAAGATTGAATATTCTGGATTTTATTCACCATGTAGATTGGAAAAGCTAATGCACTGTACTGATATTTTACACTGTAATAATTAAAACATCACCGTTCTTGTTATTATATCATAATATTATATGATAATAATAATACCTAAGTCATAGCCGCTTGCATAATGTATCCTGCCTATCCATCTGTGTATTATTTGTGTTGCAGTAAGACACCTGAAGCAGTGTCATGTAAATACTGAAATGGTTCAGTATGAATTAAGTTCAGCTGCAGTCAGGTCACTCATGTTTTCCTAATTACAGCAGCTTTATTCCCACTGAAGTACGTTTACTTTGAGTATATTGATCCAGAAGCAGGGTGCTCCTGGGACTTGAACCTGTAACCTTTAGGTCAGAAGCCCTGTCTCTTAGCACCTATGCTGTATACTGCTGTCTCAGTGATGTAGCCACCTACTTGAAGTGTAATTTGTTTTAATGTCACCTACGGAGAAATGAGATCATTGCTTTGTCTTCCAAACTAGGTAGCTGTATCTGTGTAATATTTTTTTAAAGTAAAGGGTCAGTTCATTGGAAATTAATTGGAAAAATATGACCATTTCGACCTTTTTATCTCCAGTGAAACTTTCTACAAGTGGAAACTTTTGGGAGATATGCCCAGACAAATACTGAATGAGTCTGGGTACAAGTCACCCCCTAACTACTGAACGGAGTCATGTAAACGAAGGATTTAGATAATGGAGAATTGGATTTTTGAATTAGACATTGAAGAAAAAAGCTTAACAATTCAAATGAATCCTTTTACTGACCTTGATTTTGAAGTTTAGGCTCTTTAATATCTCCTGGGTCTCGCTTGTCGTGTCTGCTGTCGGCTAACTGCTCAAGATCTTCTGATGTGGTTTACATTTTGTCTAGAGTTAGTGTATTTTCCTTCCTTTGTTAAGGCACTGATGTCTCCTGGTCTTGTGCGGTATGGTGGTATTACGGAACACCCCAGTAGTTAGAAATCCCAAAACTATTATTTATAATGCTGTAAAACATACAGATGTACCTCTTTCTATGATACTGAGATGCTGTATTGATGTGATGTATTGTAGTGTACAGCATTAGTGGTAATTGCAGCCTCACTTAAGTTAAAAAAAAATGCACCATAAACTATTGGAGCATGCACCGCATATGTGAAACCTAGTGCGCACGTGGACACAGATTTGGCAGTGACGGTGGTGTCAATAAGTGAAGGGTGATCTTTTTACGTCTTGAACAAGTATTGTCTCCTCATTTAACTACCTCAACTAGAGCTGGGCAATATGGCCAAAAGTGTTATCACGATAAAATTTTCCATATCAACCGATATTGATGATTATCACGATGAATGTCAAATTTTTCCTTTCCAGCTTAAAGGCTGATTTTTATTCCTGAGTTAAAATTGAAGAAATCACAGGTGAGTTTCCTGAAGCCTCCTTAACACTATGTCATTCTTAAGTTCTATGTTAAACGATCAAATTTACGAATGACATAGTGTTAAGAAGGCTTCAGGAAACTCACCCCAGATGGTTAGTCATAGTTATGAACTGTTAGCTATAAACATCAGAATGTAACAAACACTTTGCCAAACAGCAGTAATAGTAGAAATGATGCTTCCAGAACAATTTGCTCTATTTTTTGACCCAACTCTATGGAGCTCTCTATTCAAAATGGGCTGAAAGCATGTGGGAAAGGAAACCAAAAGCATCATGGGGCTCAAAAAATATCGCAGATGGTTCATGAAGCGTGGTTTTGGCCATCACTCCCAAACAGCATTTCGCATTTCACAAGTCTGAGGTAGGAGATGACCAGGTTATTTTAACTTTCGCTGAATAAAACCCCTCGGCTGGCATTCTTCCTATCGTTTTTTAATTCTCTGTGGATTATTACTGCCGGGATTTCTCACAGACTGAATTTTACTATGGACTTTGCTTTTTGATTTCGCTAGATTAGCCTTATTGAATGGGTTGCTTTGTACTTACCTGCCCTCCCAGTGAGTTGCCATGTTGTTTGGCAGTTTTTTTCTGTTGTCTGCCTACCTCCCCTATTGCATTCTCTTATTTGTTCAATAAATCCCCTGTTTTCACAGCTGTGTCATTGTGCTCCACTGCCGATCCTGACAAGCAGTCACAGAGAAAGTGACCTAATTTTATTGTCGCTGGCAACACGTTGGGCTGTGAATATCAAACTTTTATCGTGCATTTGTCACATCCGTATTCAAGCAAATTTATATCACGATAATTACAGTTATCGTTTTATCGCCCAGCCCTACGCTCAGCTACCACACTGATAAGCCTCTTTAGGTTATCTCTGATTCCAGAGTTTAAATTAGCCTACATGATTTTCATTTTTTATATACTGTCATATACCGGTGTGAAATGTCTAGAATGTATGACAGTATGCAAGAATGCATACCGCCCAAGCCTAGTGTCTCCTATATTCTCAACTAGTTGATCAGAACATCTATTAAATTATCTTGAAGGCTTCATTAGGTGCTGTAAATCCACTTCATCCTCACGCTTTCCCTGTTTTAAAGACACGACTAACCAGTTGTCTTACAGAACTGTGACCTAGGAGTTTATTCCATTATTCTAAAGCAGGGTATCCTCTTTAACTGTGAATGATTCCTTACTTTCATTTGTTCAGCAGAATCACTGGCATGCTAAGACATGTTCTTGCAAATTGTTGGAAATAATGAAGAGTCCATGTCCTAGGTGGAATTTATGCATGACTGAAATGTGACCTAAAAATTTTTGGCTTGAAAAACACTCAACAGTCATGGTATTTTCCTTGGCAGAGGTAAAGTTGATGTGGTGTCTGATTCTGATAAGGATGTTGCAGTCTAGCCTTTGTTGCTTGTCTCTGAATAGTTCCTTCAATACTATTACAAAAGCCTTTTTAGTGTGTGATTGCTAAGAATTTCCACGCTGCTTCCACAGCAGAGTCCTCAAAGTAGTCTGCTTTGTTTCTGAAATCCTTTTCAATTCTTTTATACCCTTGCGCATCCATCATATAAATACTACACTCTTCTTGGTGACTTCAAAAGGTGTTTCTGAAAGAGCAGGCCTGCTGTTATGTCATGGGTCAGACATACTGAAGTTAAAGCACATTGAGACTTCCCGTTACTGTCCTGATCTTGGCGAGACTTTAATTTCCGAGCAGAATTGGCGTTCTCCTGAAGCAGCTCATCCCTCTGTTGAAATTCACATACTGTTAGAGAGCAAGGAGGTTATTTTCTGTAAGATAATTAGTGGACTGGCTGACAGCTCCAGTGATAGTTGGCGGGGGGTGGGGGGTGGTATTCAGTCAGTATCCACTGATACCCCTTCATTAGATAACCTTATGCAGTACCAGGTTTATCTCCAGAACCATTGTGAATGTTGATGAGTTGTGCCTTCAGCGTCCATGTCTGCACACCACTCTTGTACTGAGCTGATACATTTACACTTATAGTCACCGTGTTACCTTTGATGAGTCTGGCTATTCTTCTCTGACCTCACTCATTAACGAGGTAAACCAATCCCAGAGAAGAGTCAGATGCCTATTATTGTGGCCACTCTGCTGTGGCATTTTGGATGCTTTAAACCTTAGCGTTTCATTCTGGTATCTCAGTGTGTGCTTCTGCCGCTTTCTGGAACACATTCCTTTGATTTAAGTTCTCCAGTCTTGGTATTAAGATATTCCACCTTAAAAGCTGTAGCCTCTGAATCACTGCACGGGACAAGATGCTCGTTAGTGGAGCGTACGCCTCTGAACATTTGATCAACACTGAAAATAAGAACAAAACCAAAAACTGTGCAGGGCTCCGGCCCTCCAGGACTGGAGTTTGACACCCCTGGTTTAGGCTTCTGATTAATCATGTGATCATCTGATTCAGCCCTTTGCGAGATACTTGGCTATGTGTGGGAGCACCGTCACCTCACACCGTCACCTCACACCTTCACCTAATTAATGTCTCTCTAAGATTTTTCATTTATGTGTGTGTGTGCGTGCATGTATGTGTGCATGTGTGTGTGCATTTGTGCGTGCATTTGTGTGTGCATGTGCTACCAGGTTCTGCTTGACCCTCATCGGGATGATGGATGGATGGATGGAGATTTTGATAACATCACAAACTGATGTGGCACTTTCCCTTCTCATCTAGCAGGTTCCAGGCATGAAAAGGTGAGGCTTGTACATAAATTGACAGCAAATGCTAATGACATAAAATACCCTTTGGAGAAATAAGTGGGTTTTTTGAAGCCCAAAATTAAATATTCCTGATTAGAATTCATTCAAAACAATGGCTTTAATATATGCAATTTTACTTTTACTCCAGTAAACATCGGTGTGAAAAGGTGAGGATTCGTATGAGGAAGTGCTCAGATTTTTCACCTGTTACTTTATACTATGAAGGCGCTTGCTTGGAAACCTCTTCCGGAAGATGAAATGCGAATCGTAGCCTGGAAATATGGTGCCAAGGTGATGTGGTTGAATCCTGCTGCAGAGTTCCTGGTATGAAACGCTTTGGAACATCTTGATCTGTAGGCACTGATCTCCATGAAAATGTCACATGGCTTCCATCTAAGTTTGTAAAAATCAACAAATTATAGATAATTAGCCTATTAGTACATGAAAATGGGGAGACTCGTGGATTTCCATCGTTCTTCCTTTTATGATATGTAGAAAGAAGCATAACCTTTAAGTAAGGTGTAAGTCAAACCAGGCTTCATAGCTCAGGTGGTTATTCTGTCTCTCATTTTTCCATCCATCCATGCATCCACCCAATCTTAGTGTTCTATGTCAATTAAATTATTTAGTTGTTAATAGCTATAATATCTAATATACAATATAAAAATGCAACTGAAAGTAATTAGCTAGTTGTGTCTATGCAATGTTAACTAAAATGTACTTTAATTAGAATCCAAATACTACACGAGTATCCTTTGGTGCTAAATGTCTGCTTTGTACTATGAGGTTGTCACTATAATGGATTTACGTGAGTTATGAAGTTGAACTGATCCAGTACAGCATTTAATAACATCATTTCATTACTGCCACTTTCAGTAAAGTAAGAAAGATGTTGGGATTTGTTTTGAACTGATTGCAAAAAAACCAAAACAATGGTGTACCTGCACTGCTTTTACACTTTCATTATGATTTAAAAATAACATTTACGAAATGATAATTAACATTGACTTTCCCCATTTAAAACAGTTTTGTTGTGGAAATATCCAAAATATTACGTCCAAAAATGATTTGGCAGCATCTACAAATTCTGAATAACAGATGCAGAGCAGTGATACGCAGCCTGAGATATTTTTATGGCACACTGTTCGCTCCCAGAGCGCAAACAGATCTTTCGTGAGATGGTATCATGAGTAGACCAGCTGTCCGTCCTCCATCCATCACAGACGAGGGCATCGTATCGCACTTAACACCTGCATGGCTGTTTTCTGCTTCAGCTCCAACGTAAAGGCGTGGCGGTTTTTCCAGACCCGTGGCCGGTGGCGACGTTTCTGTTTCAACTGAGCCTGAATGCATTTCATCTTTCAGAAAATAAACCCCTATATTTGTGACTGGGACGTCACTACAGGTGAATCACGATGAAATCTCAATGGGGATGTGTTTGTAGGAAGAGCGACGGTGGCTCAGTTGTAGCTTTTAGCGATAGCGTTGATACAGTTGTAAACGACAGAATGTAAACAGGCCCTCCAGATTCCTTTCCGCACCTCTGACCACGTGAGCGTGTTGGGAGGTGTTGTTATGACTAGGCTTTAACCTCACGCATCGATGTTAAGCCAAAGCCTCGGATCCACCTGCATGCCAGCCACATCTTTCTGTTCACACGTCTTTTCTTGAACGTCTGCTTCGTAGAGGGGGTGTCATCTTCTGCTAGATGCCCTCCTCATTGTTCACACCAGTGGACTGTGAAAGGTGCAGTTCAGAAAAGCAGCTTTTAGGAATTTTGCTATTGACCAGAAAAAAAGAGCTGCTCAGCTAAACAGCCATCAGCTGTTTGGTCCTGCCTCAGCCCCCTTCATGGGGTGCTCGTATTCAGGTATCAGCAGCACCATCTACTGGTTATGTTAGTCATTGCATGCTCACCCCTTTTCTTTATTAATGCTACCGCTGTGGTTTGCTGGGGTTAGGTGGTCACGTCTGTTGTTTGCTTTCATGCTGAGGAGTGACACCTCCCCCCCCCCCCTTTTTTTTTTTTTTTTTGCTTGGCCTTTGCACCTGAGCTGGTGAGTCCTGCAGCCATTTGTTAAACACCAGAAACAATACATTTAGTTTGTTTTGATGTTCCCTCCTGGAACTGAGGAAATGGACCAGGAACGTTTCTTACAAAGTCATGGTCAACCCAGCAGGACAGCGGGGGGTGTGACAAAGTGTCAGCAGGGGCAGTCTGCCTGTCACAGGACTGCAGAAGCAGTGGATCCTGGGTGCTTCCTTTACAAAGGCGAACATCTGTATCTCACTATAAGTATTACAAAAGCCAGATGGATCCAGCACCACTGCTGCTTGGACCAGATTAAGTTGGCAGTGTGGTGGGTGACACGGCAGCTCAGGGCTGGCTCTGCTGCCTCATGCCTGCAGCATTTGGGGTTCAGATCTCACCTCTGCTCTGTGTGGGCTTTGCCTGTTTCCTCCAGGTACTGCAATATCCCCCTGGTTTGGGTAATTAGTGTCTTTAAATTGCTTCTAGTGTGTCAGTGAGAGAGTGAATGTGTGTCCTGCAATAGGCTGAGATCCCAGCCGTTTTGCACCCCCTGCTGTCTGGTATAGGGCCCAAGTTCGCTGGTACCCCTCACCAGGATAAGAGCACAGAGGATTGATGGATAACAATGTTTTGTGTTAGTCACATTTAATGAGTCTTTCTCCTTTAAGTCTCACTGTTAAAATTCACGAAAGCAAACGTGTCCCTAGTGATATGACATGATATGATATTACATGGGATTCGAACCAACAAACATTCACTGATCCCTAACCTGAAGGTCTACACACTGCCCCAAAAAATAGAAACTGAATGCATTTTTATGGAGTGTATATTTAGGAATTGAGAGTTGTATAACTGAATGAACCTGAGAGTGTCTGGTGAGTCGACCTTCTCAGGCACAGTACTGTGCTTTTTGTGTCTGCAGGTCGTCCCCAAGACTAGGCGATGGCTCTGATTCAGCTGGGCCTCCTCCGCTCGGCCCTGTGTCGCTCGCTGCTCCCCGCGGCGAGGCCTTCCTTGGCCGAGTGTGTGAGGCTGCCCTCTGCCGTGCCTCGCGGCTGTGGACGCGATGTGGTGCCCGCGGCCCCCCTTACCCGTCACTATGCCAACAAAAAGAGTAAAGGTGAGTGTGGCAGCTGTGGTGTGTCCTGGTGCGGCCTGCACACGTGGATGCGCTCGGCGAGCTGCTGCATTTCCACATCGCGGGCTGGAGTGTCTATCTAAGGGACCAGGGTTCAGCTTGCTTGGGCTTCTTAAGTGTGTTTGGCTGCTTTATTGTGGTCTTATCAAGCTTTTGTTAGTAATGTCTCTGATGTGCCAGCATGCTGGTTCCTCCCTTTCATTTCTGCTTTCCTTTTAAGCAACAGCTTTAAGCACAATAGTGATGTTTCTCCTGTGTCCTACGCCCCCACCCCCCAGCCAAAGGGAAGGCGCAGCCGGGCAAAGTGAAGATCAACACCGAGCTGGTGCATGACATCCTCAACCTGGAGGAGGTAAAGGAGGGCATGGCCGCCATCCTGCTCAGCCTGAAGGAGGAGTACAGCCGAAATCTGAGCCTGCGCACCTCCCCTGGTGAGTGCCGGCGGGGGAGGTTGGTGGGCTGGTTGCCACAGAACTAAGAACTAAGAGGGTTAAGTCACCCCCACCCCCCCCCACTGTGCCAGTTAGGTGGATAATCACTGTAAAGAGGAATATCCCTGTTTTATGCCTGAAAGTCACATTAGTCGTTATATACCTTATAGTACAGCTTAGACTTTAAAATAGTCTTTTATGTTTATATGCATATTTCATACTCATTTTTAAATTTAATTATAGCATCTGTATCAGGGGTAGGCAATCCTGATCCTGCAGTGCCGGTATCCAACGGGTTTTCCATCCTACCTGGTCTCTGATGAACCACAGCTGATCTCAGGCAGATAGCAACTCATCAGTTAGGAGGGAAAAGCTGCTGCATTAATGTTGTAATGCGGAACATCACCATTCTTAAGTGGCTTTATATGAAATTTATCATTAAATAAAATATTAATAAAACCAAAATTTAGTCTTAAACAAAATACTTGCATATTAACACACCTTCATTCATATTATAAAATAAACAAACAAAACTTACATGTTCTCTCGCAAAAATGTAGTATCGGACAGGCCATGCAAAAAGGGACGAAGGACGCGGGAGCTGAAGATGGGAGAAACAAACGGGGTTTTATTCAGCTAATAGGCTGAAACAGAAAAGAAGACGGTTACGGCAGGGTTGCCATGTTTGGACAGCTGGCTGACGTGAGATTTTCAGTTCGAGTTTGCACACACATTTACATGTATGTAAGCGTTTTATTACCTTGTAAATAGTGTGTAGGCTCAGTGACGGGTAAGCAGCAGGAAGCTGAACCTCACTGTGCCCCGAAGTGCGTCACGGCAGCGGGAGGGAAGGCCGGTGCCCATCCTGTAACGAGCTGGACGAAGGCACACGTGTTACCAGTGAGGAAGTGCATCCAGCGGGGTTTAAGGGGCTCAGCTGGTGGGATTGTAGCCGCACGCCTGTGTCTTTTTGGAGAGCTAGCACTGCTCCTCCCCGGGCTTCCAAAAATCGGCTTCCTGTTTGGATAGGCGCTCAGTTAAAATGCCTGCATTCATTGTGCGATGACCGAGTTATCCAGGTTTAAACTGAACAAGAATATAAATGTGACGTTATAAGTGTATCATGTCAGGCTGGTAGCTTTACAGGTGCTGCGACTTGCGATGGGGTTACGTTCCGAGGAACCCATCGTAAGATGAAAATATCGTAATTTGGATATGATATGACGATATTGTGCGTTTAGTAGACATGATGGGGAAAATGAGCTTAAATACCTGAAGACGTACACTGTGCGATACTTTGTTAAACACTTTACGAGATGTTTATGCTCGTGAGAACTACAGAGACTGGCTGCCATCACCTGGCATCAGTAGAAAGTATGAAATGGTACATCGGTATCCCGGGAACCAGTGATGACTCCAGGTTTGTATGGCTACTAAATGTGCATCGCTATTGCACCATCGTAAAGTCGAAATAATATAAGGTTAACCATCGTAAAGCGAGTAGCATCTGTATATGAAAATGACAGATTGCCTAAAACAAGATACAGGGAAGCCCCTTGTGAGAGAATCTTTGGGTGCTCGATGGTGCCGGTGGTGGACCTCATGTTGGAGATGGTGTGCGGCTGTGAACGCCTCCCCACATTCTCTTCCACGCCAGTAATGGCGTAGCCTAATGCAGCTTTATTCATGTAGGAGGAAGAAGATAAGATGCAGTTTATGCTTCTTTGTTTTTCAAGTGCTGTTGCTGTTTTTGTGCTCAAGTGTGGTTATTGGGACGTTTCCCAGCAGCGGCAATGATTTATGCTAATGTGCGAATGCATCTAAAATGGCGCATCCCAGAAATACATATTTATACACGCAATTGAGGAATGCCCAACCGATCATTTCACATTAGATCTGGCACTTAATTGAGAAAGACAAAACACCACAGGATGTCAACACTGCTAGAAATGCAAAACCTTTCCAGCTTTCGTAAATGGGGGGGGGGGGGTTTGAATCCGCGTCGAAGGCACAGCGTTGTGTGCTCTGTCGGTAGACGTTGGCCGGAGAGCCGTCGTCCAGCATGCAAAGGTAAACCTGCTCGAATGTAACGTGAAAGAAGGGAAATACTGGAAGACTGAATCGGGTGACATTTTATTATCGGAGTGATGGTTTGCTCATCTGGTCTGGGTGTCACTGCTGCACTTTTTGGCAGTGCAGCGTCCTAAGTCATGGGAAAGGTGGCGCTGTGGTGGCCCAGCTCTGGGATTCATTTTCAGGTTTGAGGAGCCTGGTCCATGTGATTTCTCAAGGAGCTTTCCCAACAAAATTCCGGAACCTGGTTCTAGGTTCCTGGTCTGTTTCGACCGGGAGCTCCTGTAGCTCCTGGCCACTTCTGTGTGTCGCTTTCCTATCACACAACAGGAACTGTGACCTTTATGCTAGATAAGCTTTGGGAGATGTAAAATTTTGTAGGTTAAACTTCACACGTAATTCCATGCAAAATTATTAAATTTGGCCAGCAGATCGATCTTTCATCTTTAAAAATCGATACAATGTTATTACACTAAGTGCTGGCAAGTTTTGCCGCTCCCACTGGTGATATTAGACAGATGTATGTTGCTTATCCTTTGAATTTTCCAAAATATGGAGATGTGTGCAAAAAATGTCTTTCATTTAACTGAGATACAAAAATAATTTAATTTTGGCTGCACCACTTCTGTTTCATTTACCCACATTTCTGCATAAATTTCCAAGTTAGTGTTGGTGCTTGTGGTCAGCCAATCAGCAAAGTTTATCACTGTGAGCCCCACCTGCTAGTTCTTAGTCAAGCAAAACGTACATACGCCAGAGTAGGAGCTACAGTCAGGCCGAGTTCTTGTGGTGGGAATGAGACCGGAGTTCCTGGTTCCCGAAAAAGGACACTGCGGAGGAAAGTGCCTTCAGAGTCATCTGCCACTAGAAGAAGGACCAGATGGGACTGCGCTTGCCCGTGATGTCTTTCTTAATCTGCCAAGTTTACGAAGAATAACCACTCCCACAAGTCTAACACGCAGGCCTTATAAAGTCGTGATGTCATTGGAGAGCCCCAAGCTCACTCTTACCTTGGTGTGACTCTCGCACTCAGGCGATACAGTGGAGTGTTATCTGAGGATCGGCGAGTTTGGGTCACGCCCTGACCGGGGCCGTGCCCTTTCATTAATAACTTCCATGCTGATTCCCCCCCTCTATGCTGCTGGGCAAGTGCTAGCAGATGTGAAGGGAGCGAAAGACATTGTATTAGTTGCCTGCTTCTTATAGCCTGAGTGTGTTGTGTTTAAATCGCTTGTAATGGCTAAAATGTGGCTATAAATATCACGCTTTTTATGAAAGGTTCATGCAGAAATCTTGTCTAAAGGCCATTGAGGAGACTCTCTCCCCGAGGCACTGACGGGATTTTCTATGCGAGTCTGCGTCTTCTCCCCGCCTTCGTGTCCGTGTCCATCAGGCATTTTGGTGTCTTTCCCCAGGCCAAGACAGATGGGCACCTCTCATTCCCTCATAGTAACTGCCATGTTTGTGCATGAACTGATGTGTCCTGTGCTGGGCTTCAGGCTTACTGTAACCCCACATTAGAGGAATGGATGTTGGATGGATGGATGGATGTTTCATTTATATAGCGCTTTTCAAGACCCCAAAAAACTCTGTACAGCATCAATGGGGAGCCACTTCATCCACCATCACTGTGCAGCACCCACCTGGATGATGCGATGGCAGCCAATCCGCCACCTCGATGATGCGATGGCAGCCAATCCGTGCCGGTACGCTCACCACACAGTAGCTGTGGTGGCGGCAGGCCAAAAGGGAATTCACCAGTTAGATATAGGGGATGATTAGGAGGCCAGATTTGAATGGGCAGCTTTAACTTGGACATCGGGGTACCGCCCCTTCTTTTTCGAAAGATGGCCAGGAAGCTTTTATGACCTTAGAGCAGGGGTCTCCATCTCCGGTCCTGGAGAGCTACCGTCCAGTAGGTTTTCTATCCTACCCGGCTTCTGATGAGCCACACCTGTTCTCAGGTAAATACCAGGAGCAGGTGTGGCTCATCAGAAGCCAAGTGGGACAGAAAACCTACTGGATAGTAGCTCTCCAGGACCAGAGTTGGAGACCCCTGCCTTAGAGGTTCAGGAGCTCAATTATCCATCTCATCCAAAGGACAGTGCCATTTTTATAGCACAGTGTCACTGCACTGGGGCATTGGATCCACACTGACCACAAGATGGGCTACCCTGTTGGTCACTCCAACATCTCTGTATCCAATGACATGCAAGGAAGAAGATAAAGGGACATAGTCTATTGGCAAAGATCTATAAATTACTGTTACATTTTACTCTTACATGTTCAAGTAAGTGTAATAATAGCTCAAATCATGCTTTCCAAGGGAACCTAAGTGTTCTTAGCAAATGTAAGCTAAGCCTGAATAGTGGCAGAGGGTTTGATCGTGTTCAGACTCGGTTCCTAGTGACATCCAATCACAAGCTACTTTCATACTGTGTTTCTAGTGACATCCAATCACAAGCTACTTTCATACTGTGTTTCTAGTGACATCCAATCACAAGCTACCTTCAGACTGTTCCTAGTGATGTGTAATCACAAGCCACTTTCTGACTGTGTTCCTAGTGATGTCCAATCACAAGCTACTTTCTGACTGTGTTCCTAGTGATGTCCAATCACAAGCTACTTTCCAACTGTTCCTAGTGACGTCCAATCACAAGCTACTTTCATACTGGCTTTCTAGTGACATCCAATCAGAAGCTACCTTCAGACTTTTCCTAGTGATGTCCTTTCACAAGCTACTTTCTGACTGTGTTCCTAGTGATGTCCAATCACAAGCTACTTTCTGACTGTGTTCCTAGTGATGTCCAATCTCAAGCTACTTTCCAACTGTTCCTAGTGACATCCAATCACAAGCTACTTTCAGACAGTGTTCCTATTGATGTCCAATCACAAGCAATGTTCTCTTCCTGCTCAGGTGCTCTGGATCATATTGTGGTGACCACAACGAATGGCAAAGTCCCACTCAAGCAGCTGGGACAGATCTCAATGAAGTCTCCACAGCTTATCGTAGTCAACATGACTGGGTCCCCTGAGGTATGATGCTGTCGAACCTCGATCTTCTCAGTCTCAGTCTCAGTCTAAGTCATTGTACTGCTTAGAGATGCATCACTCCATTGAAAAAGGGTTGAATGTTGATCTGCATGCACAGTGTGGTCTTATGTGTGTCTGTGTGTAGGTACACACTGCCTGGTTGGCACTGAAGCTTAATGAAGCTAGCGGCCTAAAGCTTCACTGAAAAGCATTGCATGCATTTTTGGTAAAGAAACCCTTTGTTTTTCATTTTGGAATTATTCCATCCTTTTTCAGTTCTGTGTGCCGGAAAGGCATCCAAAGATAGGTGCTTCACCGGGTGTCCCTGCGCTTCTGGAGATGGGTGCCCTTTTAAATCACCATGGCTACAGCACAGCAAAAATGATTTTTGTCCCTTTTAATGGCACAAACATGAAGGTGGTCAGGAACTATTAAAGTGGGGGAGGGATCAGCAGGTTAGGACACTGTGGCTGTGATTGGAAGGTCATCAGTTCAAATCCCAGTGTTGGCAGAGTGATTTCACCACGCCAGGCCCTTAATCCCCAGTTGCTCCATGGACTGACAAATGCTGCTTTCTCAGAAATGTATGTACATCCACTTTGTATAAAAGTGTCTGCTCAATGAGTTAAATGTCTAAATAAAAATATGTGGGAATCGCTTTGCGAGTCTGTAAGAGGTGTCCCAAAACATGGGAAGTAAAGGAACCCACTCAGCATGCGAGGGGATAGGCCAGAGTCTGCTGCTGAAACACGAGTCTTAAAAAAAAAAAAACACAAAATAAAAAAAAACAGACAAATTGATTGATTATTTGGGAGCCTTTTGTTCTTCAAGAGCTATTGAAACAAAGGCCAAGAGTCTGCAGCCTGCTGTCAGGGGGAGGAAGTGACCGGGCGGTGCCTCTCTCCCCTCCCCCCCCAAACTATGGGCTGCGCCATGGCGCCCCCCCCACCCCCCACTCCAGGCCTACACTTCACAAGCCACCGGCATGTTTTTCACCTCCTCCAGCAACATCCTCGGCTGTTATTGATGAGGGTCGCCTCTGGACCCAGGCTCTCTGCAGGCACGAGGAGATTAATGCATTTTTTCTTGGATTATTTTCAAAGCCTTGTCTGTTTTTTATATACCTGGGGGGGTATGTGTTTAACCAGTGATCTTTGGTCACAGCTATCACCCCCCCTTGCACCTCCCTTGTGCCCCCTGTGATTTCAGCAGTCTTTCGGTTGGTGCCCGCGCTGAATCTGCCATCAGGGTAATTACTGAGCTCCAGCTTGGGTATGTCACCCATTCCAGTGACTGACTGACTGACTGGCTGTTAACTTAGATGTTAACCCAACTGGCCGACACTATTTTTTTTTCTTCATGAGGCATTCAGTTAATTAAATTGTCATTTAATGTGCAGTTTCGGGTCACTGAAGTCATCTAAGCAAACCTTTAAAGATTTTCTTAAGTATACTCACAATTCGACAGTCATTTTGTAATTGTTCCCCATGTATTTGTCCAGTTTTAAAAATCATTATGGGCCAATATCTTCGTTTTTAGTAGCATGTTTATTTTAAGTTGCTAACATAACTAGCTAATTTACGTATTTGAGATTGAAGCCAAACATAGGGTTAAATACAAATGTCCACCGAAGTTTTGTTAGAATCAAAGCAAATTAAAGAGCTGTAACCCAAAAGGTCGATCGCAGCAATTAACAAGAAGTTACTCTTAACTTTTCCAGAATTATCTAACGGAAATTTGGGTAACTGGAAACACACATCTGTAACAACACTGTGTATAAATGGCTTGATTAAAGTGTTTCTAAAAATGGGTTCTGGAAATGCCTCGGTTCTACAGACAGGTTTCAAAAGAGCTGCATGCTTTCCAGGTCTTATCAGAACAAAAATGGAATTACGTGGGGAACAAAAGGACGAAATGAAGGAACAGAACTTGTTACGGGTCTTGGTTTGGTTTGTGTGGATTTCCCCCGCGTTCTTCGGCAGTGACACCCTCCCTGGGGTGAGGGTGATGAAATGCAGGAGTGGGGGTCACCCCAGGTACCCCGAGCTTGGTCTGCACCATGCTCTCACCATACCTACCTGCCTGTTACAATGAAACTGATCTTACACGAAACAGTGTTTGGTCATTTGCGATAGAGACATAGCTACTGATGGAGCATCTGATAACTTGTATACTGGGCCACACTGGGGCAGCCCTCTTCTGCCCAGGAACTACTGGGAGAAATGCCTGAACTGCACTGGTTACATTTACTGCTGCTTTATATTGTTGTAAAAATCCTTCATCAGAGTTCTGCTATCAGCATTCAGCAAAGGCTCATTGTGAATGTTTATAAAGTTAGTCATTTGGCAGTTAATTTCAATTGTGGAAAAGTAGGGTATTAGCTGATAATTATGAGCTGATTTGCTTTTATAATCTCTGCTGGTCCAGTTATCACATTACACAGGTGAGGTGACCTAGCTCACACCTTGGTTCCTGGTTTATGATGCCCCCATTTATTGGTGTATTGGTGCTCCGTTCTGACCAAATTACCCAGCAGGCCTGTAACCCTAGCTTCAGGGTGACTGCAAACCAGTAAAAACAAACAGCCACGTAATGATTCTAATCCATTATGCACATTTATAGTTGGACTCTGATGTCTAGTAATTTATTCAAATTATAACCCGAAAAGGTTCAAATTATAACCCAGAATTATAAATCCCACAATGGCTGTTGCATCATCTTACAAAGAATATCAATTTCAGCACTCTGTTCCCAGGAGAGCACCGCTTGTGTATTCGCTAGGTTGTGATAGAGACCCCCCCCCCCGTGTTGGAGTCTCTGAAGCCTTTGAATCCGCGGTGTTTAATCAAATGCAGCGGAACTTCATTTTTAACAAGTTAGCCAGAATGGGCCAGCTGCTTACACAAGTGCGGAGGGTATCCCAGCATGCTCAGTGAACAATATGAAATTGATATGGATTCCTGTTGGAGAAAAAGCAGGGGGAACATATCATACTTGTTGTCCTAAAGTGAGAGAAACACATCTGGCAATTAATGGAGACATGTGGACAAAGAGCACAGGAATGAAGTAGTGTTTGCTCTCTTGTCTAATTTTTCTACAGAACGTTGATGTTTTGCCCATTTTCATATGAGCTTATTGGCGTGCCCAGGCTCTCGCGTCACGTTCTCATGCTTTTTGTTACTACAAGGAGCCGGACATTAAAATTGCAGTTTCTCCGTGACCTTGGCCGTAGCTGCTGCCACGTGGTTCCCGTTCCGGCTCGCTGGGTCCTGGTGTTCCCCTGACGTAGGTCTCCTGCCCCGGCTCAGCTTCCTTATGCAGCCTGAGGGCCAGAGGCACTGCAGTGGGGTTTTTTTTTTTTTCCCTGCCCAAAGCTCGCGTGTAACTCCTTGCCAGGAAGCTCTGCCGCGATTTTGATTGCACCTCCAAGGCAAGTGGCTGGGATAGTCCCTGACAGCACTGTGGTTCCTCAAACGGGGGGGGAACGCTCTGACACGCCGCTGCAGCATTTCCACCCGCATGGGCCTTTTCTCTGGTCTGTTTCTGTGTCTCTGTGTTTGTACTTTTTAGCCAGATTAGCTGTGACAGGATAGCTGCCTTTGTGAGGATATGTGTCCCCAACATGCATGGAAATCAGGGACTGTGGGGCTGTACCCACAAAATAAACATTTGTGTAATCTCCTTAAAAAAAAATTTTTTTATAGGGTTGTGAGATTTTTTTGGGGTGATTCAATGTGAAGCCCATGCAATTATTTGTGTGTGTGTGTGTGTGTGTTTGTGTGTTTGTGTGTGTGTGTGTGTGTGTGTGTGTGTGTGTGTCTCTGTGTGTGGATTACATTTATATTACACTGTGGGGACCAAATGTCCCCCGCAATGTGATTAAAAAACCAGTTATTTAGGCGTTACGGGAACCATTTTTCAGGTACCCACAAAGATCTGTGAATGCAATCAAAAAACCAAAAATGCCAAAAGTCTCGTATTTAGTTTGGTTACTTATGGTTAAGGTTAAGGCTGGGTAGGGGTTAAGGTCTTCATGTTGGGATTAGAGTTTTACCCATATAAATGAATGGAGAGTCCCCACAAAGATGTAATTACAAACCTGTGTGTGTGTGTGTGTGTGTGTGTATATGTCTGTTTTATATGCGCCCATCAGTGAGGAGATGGTACCCAGTCCCCCCCATCTGTCTCAGATCAAAGCCCGAGAGTGGCCCACCCGCTTCCTGCCGCTTCTGCATGGAGGGTTGCGGGGGGGGGGGGGAGCAGTCGGCAGGCTATGTCGATGCAGGTAAGTGCACTCCAGCTGGTAGCCATTAGCACTGATGCCCCCCCGCCCCTGGCTTTGATCGACCCCCAGGTCACGGCGGCGGCTGCTCGCGCCCTGAGAGACAGCAGCCTGAGGCTGAACCCGGAGGTGGACGGAACCATCATACGGGTGCCTATTCCCATGTGAGTGAGCAAGGCGCCCCCCCCCAGGCACCCATCCACCGCCTGCCACGCCCACCACATCCATGCGCATTCATATGGCCTGCCGTCATTTGCTGATTGCTTGTGTCTAATTTGTTTAAAGTTTCAAAATGTTATTTGTCACATACACAGTAATACTGAGTTCAATTGGCACTGAAACGCACAGCTGCCCCAGACTGGGGGAAAAAGGGGCACAAGTTTAGACAAAAGAGAGAAACATGCATTACAAAAATTAGACATTCAATAAAAATCATAAGAATCTATGGTGTGCAAAACTGGCAGTAAGTGCAGGTATTTCAAGAGTCCAGAAATAAGTATTTATGTGTGTGGGTTGTGTACGTTCTTGAGATCATTGGTCTGCAGGTCCTAGACACTACCCTCATTTAGGATCTGAATTGCATTGTTTGTTTGTTTGTTTGTTTATTATTATTATTGCTTTGTAAGTAATACCACATCTATTTCAGAGAAGAGATTTTGAGAAAATTAACTTTATTACTCATTATTAAATTTTATTGTCATTTAATACATTTTCTTTGGAAAAACTCATTATTGTAATATTGTAAAATGGATTATCTTCTTATGTCGCTATATACAGTGGTACCTCAGAACTCGAAATTAATCCATTCAGAACTCCGGACCGAATCCTAAAAAGTTTGAGTTCTGATCGAATTTTCCCCATAAGAAATAATGGAAAACCAATTAATTGGTTCCCGGCCCCAAAAAATTACACCGAAATTTGTTTTTTAGCATTTAAACACAAAATGAACTGGACAAAACAAGAAAAGCATATACTGTACTAAAGACATCTAAGCACATTTATCAAAACAGTAATTTTTAAAGTCAGAAAATAAATGTATCCAAACAAGTTTAAAAAAAAAAAACCATTGTGTCCTCCCCCGATCGTCCGCTCCTTCCGTGTGCCACGCCGCCTCGTTAACCCCGTGTGGAATCCCCGGTTGTTCTGGTTGTTGTCATTAGTCCTCTGTATTTAGTCCGCGTTTCAGTTTGTTTTCCCAGTCCGGTCATAGTATTGTCCGTCTGCGTTTGCCTGCCTTACCTGTAATTAAACCTTGTATTCTCCGATACCCTGACGTCTGCGCCTTTGTCCCAGTTACGTCCCCGCTGGGCATGACAATATTATTATAATTAAATGCATTAATGGTTTATTATTAAAATAATGAATAAGAAATCTTTATTTTAAATGTATTTTATTATATAATAATAATTACTGTTACTGTCTATCATTGTCTAAATGTATTTTTACTGTCTAAATATATATATTCAGCTAGTGTAAACGTGCACGATGCTATCACAGTGAATGCGAGGCTGAGACTGGAGCTTTACCCTTTGTTTCCGCTGAGAGACGTGCCGCATGACTCATTTCCCCGCGCGTACAAGTTATCTTAGGTCGGCGTTCACGGTTTGACTTCTGAGATTCTGATCGAGTTCTAGGTAATTTTTTTCCGAACTGGTTGGTTCGACTAATTCGAGTTATAATGAGTTCGAGAACTGAGGTACCACTGTATTTGTACTATTTATCTTATTGTACTGATGTGTTGCTGCTGCTTGGGACTTTGCACACAATAATTTCACTCACCTGACCTCTACTAGATATCAAGTGGTGTAACAAATACAGTGATTTGATTTGACTCTCTAGAGTCAGTATGAACAACGCCGCCAGGTCATTCCCAGCCCCTTTCAATGATATAATTCTGTAATTCTGACACTTACTAAGGGAAGGTAATGTCAGTGTATTTCTTTGTTTGTTTGTTTGTTTATTGTTTTACATATAATTTAATTCACTATAAATGCACCTCATCATTTTAATTTGAAGGTACAAACTTTTTTTTGCAGTTAACATGACTTTGATCATCATAATTATCTACTTGTAATTTACACCATCGGTATTTTCGATACGATCCCCCCCAGTTCAGATGGCTGTAAGTTTGCCCCCTAAACCCACTGTTTTCTCTGTTTATTTTCATTCCTCTGCAACACCGGTAGGTGCTCGTAGTGCAAAGTAGGATAAACGTTTCTCTCGGCAATCAGTCTGGGCACGCAAATTTACATTTCTATTTACGTCTGATTGGACCGGAAGATGCAATTACGGTTATTGTTTGCGGTAAACAGATGCTGCTCATGGACTCTGTTTGCAAGTGAAATAAGGCCGTGCCAATTAAGAGGAGCTATCGCATCGGCTGAAGACGTGCGACACGAGAACCTCCCTTAGACAAGCCCATGTAGCTAAATTGTTGTGATTTTTAAGTTTGAATTGCACCAATTACTGTACCTTTGAAAGATTAAAAGAATGGGCATAACTTTCAGCTATTTTTCATAAACACATTAATAAATGTAATGTAATAGCGTTTGTAACAAAAACTAAAAAAAAGCACTGTGTTTTGGTTGGCGATGTGTGCTCCTCCGTAAGTCTTCAGTGCTGATGTCGTTTGCAGACTCTTAGACGGTGACAATAGCCTGAGGTATAACAGCTTATTTATGGCTGGCTCCCTCCCACAGATTTAAACTTAATTATTGTGGGCTAGTAATCATGACCTGTAGTTAAGTACAGCTTTATGCTTATATATGTGTGTATGCCACAATTACATTCACAAAAAAACAAAAGCTTCGATAAACTGCCCTGACATCGGCATTTGGATTGCTTTCACGTGTCTCCTGTGTACTTAGTTGTTGTTCCTGCTTCGTAAATCAGTACAACGTGAAACCTTGTGAATTTCCCTGGTTAACAGTTAGGCTAGTCTCAGTAATAATCCGACACATCGCTATGGTATCTGTGCCAGCTACCTGTCTCGCACCTTCACTTTCAACTTTACCGCAGTTCTTCATTTGTACTTAACAATGACCCGGCTGAGAGCCCAGAATTGCGGACACGTCACGCCTTCGGGCTGGGTTTTTCAACTGAAGGTCTTGACGATGTTCTCTGTGTGCAGAACTTCATTCCTGTCAAGTTCCTAATACATTTAGATGACCCTGTTAGCAAATTGGCATCTTTGAATTGCTTGAGGTGTGTCTGTGTGCCATGTGATGGACTGACATCCTGCCTGGAAGCCAGCCTGGTGTCCTGTGCCAACTGGGACACTGCAGGCTCCCTGACACCCTGTACTGGGTGAACTGTCAAGATGTCCTCTTAATACTGGATACATCATAGCAACGTCCTTTGGAAAGAAGTAAATCTGCATTTCTGTTACTTATGTATTTATATTTTTTGTTTAATTTCTGTCTCTCAAAGAATTGTGTGTAACTCACAGGATTGTTTTTCCCCTTGATCTTGATTAAAATTGTAGTATAAATACTGTAAATAAAAAAATAATTTATTAATTGGCTAAAAATGGATGTACCCTAATGAGGACACCGTCGCACTCCAGTGGCAAAATTAGTAAAGTAAACCACAGAACCGCGGTGTAGAAAGAACAGGGGGGTGAGTTAAACTATGTCAGATCGCAGTCAGAATCCAATCAACCACTTAATTAGGCCGAGTTCATTAAGAACTCTGAGGGAGAGTAATCGGGCAGGTCACAGTGGGTCCCCGAGACCTGGACTCACACCCCAGTTTTAAGTCGGCAGTCTGTATAAACTTGGAGTTGTTTTCCCAGAAAGCACCGTGTGAAACCTGGGCGAGAAGGTCCTGCATTCATAGGCGTGTGTCCCCCGCAGGGTTACGCGTGAGCACAGGGAGAACCTATGCAAGCTGGCCAAGGAGTTCAGCCATAAGGCCAAGGAGTCGTTGAGGAAGGTGCGATCAGGGGCCATCGGCACGCTGAAGAAATCTAAGGACGGAGTTTCAGAAGATACCCTGCGCTTGATAGAGCAGCACGTAAGTGTACAGGGCCACGCTGGGCCCGGAGAGTAGCTGCAATGGTGAATTGTAACATTAAGTCCGAGGCTGTGTTGGGAGGCCCGTTATGCTCTGTGTTAATCTGTCTTCTTACGTGGCTGTGCCTCGTCCAGCCCAAGAGCTAGTCCAGCTGGGCCGGTGTTTCCATTACTCTTCCTGTACCTCGTTCATTGTTCCCAGGTGCAGCAAATGACAGACAGCTTCACTGCCGACATAGACAAACAACTCGCCGCCAAAACTAAGGAGCTTCTAGGATGAGATGTCCTGGAGGAATCACCCTCAAAGGGCCTGTCAAGGGACCCCAACCCCCCCGTCATCAACCACAGAGCGGCTTTCAATGTCATACGTTGTCTGTTACCCACTTTGGACTGGAGATCTTGTTGACATGTGACCTTTGCAAAACGAATAAAAGAGACACTAGCATCTGTCGCTAAATCGGAATATGGAAAATCTGAGCCCATGGTGCTGAACGTGCCGCCCGGGCCTCGACCGGCTTTGGCAGCCGACGCCCACAGCCGGTTGGGCCCTTTGTGTGGCGCGTCTTCAAACAAACCGACAGAAAATGGACTTTTAATGGGATTTTGAGTCCTCCTTTTAATCAAACTGCCGGCATGAACATCGTGTTTACGCACGAAAGCGCCACACTGAATGTAAACTGTGGCATGAGCGTCTCGTTCACATGATTACAGGTATTAATGTTTGGCCAACATTTTGCTCCAAAAACGGCATAAAGCAGATTTTGCGAACTCGTTTCATCTTGTTTTCCACCCGTCGCACCGTATCTCCTCAAACCTACTAATGTACACAGAGAAAAATGGCGCCATTATTCACCCATGCTTTGAGCATTTCAGTTTGAGAGGGTTCTGGTTTTAGGTTTTTTGTTTGATTTTTTTTTTTCTCCAAGCTCGGCTCCCTTAAATGAGAGCTGATTGTGACCACACTGCATCGATCTCATCTGTCATAGTCTTTTACATGCAGGCTTTAAGTGTCCCAATCTGGAGTTTCTGACAGATATTTGCTATGACGTGACCTGTTTTCCCTAAACAAATGTGTTAACTCTTGCCATAGAGTTAGTGAGTCTCTGTACTGACTCTCTACTGTTATTAAACACTATAAGCATCCTGTAATATCTTTGCCTTAAATAGTCAGAAATAACCCTTAAAAACTGTTTGATGTGCTCAGTAGATTTTCTGAGATGCTGAGATATTTTCTGAGTGGTTTTTAAAAGGCAGTGTTATGATGTTGATTTAGTCTTCGAGAAACTCAACTGACTTGAATGTTGTTCCTCTTGCTGTGTAGATTTCATGCATGTGTTGACTGAATATATCACACAGTTTGAGTAAAAAGGACACAAGTAATTATGGCAAATACGTATTGGATAATTCTGGGTGTATCGATCAGGAAATGAGCAATGAGCACTATAGATACTACACCAAACACACAGACAGCAGCAATTTTCTAAAGAAGGTCATGAGGTTCACTTACTGTTCAACGAAGCATTATTTCACCTACGAGGCTTGATCTTTGTGATTTTGATAGTGGTGCGTTTGTTGGTACCATATGTGATGGTTCCAGCATCTCAGAAATGGCCACCTTCCTGGGATTTTCACACGCTGCATTATCTAGAGTTTACAGAGAATGGTGTGATTTACGAAAACCATCCAGACAGAAGCAGTTCTAGAGGCTGAAAACATCTCCTTAATGGGAGAGGTCAGAGGAGAATGGCCAGACTCATTAAAGCTAACAGGAAGACCACAAGTCAAAAATAACGGCTCAGTACAGCAGTGCACAGAAGGTCTTCTCTGAATGTGCTTATAGTCTATCTTAGAAGCGGTTCTGGTGGCCAAAGTGTGTCCTTCCTGATACCAGCTAGATGTACCTAATAAAGTGGCCACTGAGTATTTACCTCAACAGCACCACTGTATTAACGTAGGCAGAACAGGTATAATACTGCTGTACTAGAAAGACCTGCCCTAAAATGCTGTCTGTGCCTTTTGTCACCTCACTTCAGACAGTGCTTTCCTGGGAAGTTCTTCAAAGAGCAGCAGGAATGGTCCATTCTCAAAAGCTGCAGTAAAAAGTCTAGTTAATGTGAGGCAGGGCTGGTCGATCCTGTAGGTGACATAGGCGGCTGCCTAGGGCACCACCTTGCGAGGGAACTCTGACTTGCTGGCCAGTTTCAAACGCGGGATGCCACTTCGGCTAAGTCCGGTGTGATTGTGAGCTGTGAAAGTATAACTAATGGAACCCAAACTCTCAGTCTTGGTCCCAGTGACCCACGTGTTCAGTCAGGATTCAGATCACGTGGTTCATTCCTTACACATTTCAATTAACGCAAGTTAAGCAAGTTTTGTGGCGTCCTGCCTGGACCGGGCCGGCAAACCAGGGCCCGGTCACAGAGCCCAGGCGTCCTCTGGAGCGGACCATGTGATGCCAGGTAGGCGTTTGTATATGGTGGCTACCTCAACAATGAATGGGATCACATGTGTTGGCTTCCAGTCCAAGTAGATATCAGGCAAATTTAAATCATACGCAAAAGCTAATATACAAAACAAATGGCAGTGGCAAGATTTTTTTTAGTGTGTGTTTTCAGTCCATATGTCAGCAATTTGGGGGCATTGTGTATCTTGGCCAGACGTACTGATTCTTGATAGATGAATGAGTGAAACACTTGGGTCTGCTGCCTGAATGCAGAGCGGCAAATTGCTTTCAGCTGATGGCCTTCATTCACTTGACATTTATCAAGCACATTACAGTATGTCTTTCTGTTTATTGCCGTGACTCAACAAACAACAAAGGCCAAACCGTCGGGAACCTAATGTTTCTTTGTCCGTCGATGGTGAAAATATACAACTGCGAATAGGATCACTGCCCTTGGTAATTGATGGTTACTGTCTGGACCCTGGTAGCTGGTAAGTCACTGGCTCCTGTGCCACTGACGTGACCCCACATCTGAACCTTTCGGCTATAGGTAAATATGCCTTGATGCTCCGCTAACGCAGTTAAATCCCAGACATACTAATGCTACCAGCACCATGTGTAAAACTACTAAAACAAAATGGCTGGGGTAGGCCAAAATGGAGAACATACTGACGATGGACAAAAACTAGCCTGAAAAGGAGGAGTAGTGTGGCCTCGTCTGTGTGTGCCTTAACTTTGCGGTGCAGAAAGAGACCTGCTCTGACATTGTTACCAGTCACTGACATTTAAGACTTTTTAAAACCTGGATAAGACACCTTCACTGACTAGGACACCAGTGAAACTGTAATGGTGTATTTGTATAGATAATGTGCATTGCTTATACAGTTATTTGTTATAATTGTATAAGGAAAATAGGATTTTAATTAACTGGTGTTCTGGGGGGGGGGGTATTGAGGGTTTTTGTTTCACAGTTTTCAAAGACCAGTTAAGTTGCCATTGCAAAGAATTTTGAGGAACAGATTTACAGCATGAAAAGTGATAGCTGTTGTAAATCGTTAAGTACAATCAGCATCTGGTCAAAGTCATCTGTCGTTAAGTATGGAAAGTTTGGCATTTTTTCTTTGTGAGCTATAGCATAACGCAAATGACCCAATGGATAAACTATTTTGCCATATTCAAATTTAATTTAGGTAAAGCTTGCAGAAATGGCTTTAGAGAGGGGGTTGCATCTTCGTTTACACAATCTTGTTTGAACATTGAAATTAAAAGTAGAAAAAGTCAGACGTTTGTTGTGTAGCCGTTTGGTCCGTTTGCAGCGACAAATCAAAATGCTCTTGACAGCACAATTAATTTGGCAGCTTCTGCATTGTGGCTCTGCTGGTGCGCAAAGATGCTTGTGAGTTTAGAACAAAAATATCCTGCAACTTTCAGTGCATTTTATGTAGTAATGATAATGACTCAACTGTGAAAACTTGAGTTAAAACAGGGATTTGGATAAAAGTAAGTATGGTTAGAGTCACAGATCAAGACGAAAATACAAAAAGTACTAACGTCTCTGAATATCCCTCTGAGGACGGTCTACTCAGTCATCAGAAAAAATGGACGAAGGGTCTTGCGCACAGTGCCATCTCTCCAAATTGAGCCGTCGGCTGAGGAGGAAGCTGGTGATTGATGGCGCCGTGGGGCCGGCGACAAATTTCCGAAAGCCGCAAAAGCGAAATGAGTGCGATGACAGGAAATGTCCATCAGCCAACGATATTCAGAGCACTTCATAAAAGTAGTGAGTGTGACAGAGTGGTGCAAACTTAGCCATTAGTTAAAAATAAGCCATTTCAACGTGGTATATTGGCATGTGGAGCTTGGCGAGTGATACGATCTGGGGCAGAACCATCCTCACTCAGTCAACAGCATTGCTGCAGCTAAGCGTGCCGTTGGTGCAGAAATGCTGTGGGCTGCCTCTCCTCAGCACGGGCCAGAAAGCTTAGGGTGACAGGGAAAATAGATGAATAAAGTCTCGCAGCTGGCGTTCGCTCACCTTACAGCAAGACAATGGTCCAGAAGACACAGCCAGAGGTGCAGTGGAAAAATGAAGAAATACAGCATCCTTGAGCGGCCCAGTCGAATTCCTGCATTGAATCATATTGGGAATCTGTGGAAAGGCTATAAGACTGATCATAAACAGCCTTCATGGAATCTGAGGGAATATTAGCAAATCTGGCAGTGATGGTGGGTAGAACATTTACAGAGTTATTTAGTAGGTTTCAGTGTGACCTTCTGCCAATGATGCTTCCATGAAATCCTGTCTTCACAAGCCTTAGTAGTTCAATCAAGTCTAAGGTGGAAGGCAGGGTCCACCAAAGATGGGATCGCAGGTCAGTCGGAAGCACAAACACACACAAAGATCACATGGCTCATTTATTATGCATCTAATCAAAGCTAATGAAGCGAGTTTGCATGGTGTACAGCCAGGATGGGGACAGGCAAACCCAGGGCCCAGTCACAGAGCCCGGCCGTCCTCGGGAGGAGACCGTGAGATGCCAGGTAAATGACCAGAGTATTATATGGTGGCTACCACTTTAATAGTGAATGTGCTGGCATGTTGCAGCCCGATCGTAAGGCATTAGCACAAACACGCACCAAAGGCTATTTAGAGCTGCCGTTTCATGCGAACCACAGATCTTTGTATTGTGTGAAGAAGCCAGCATGGCCAATGAAAAGTCAGACAAGCATCGGGAGAATGTGCAAACTCCACAAGCAGGACTGAGGTCGAGCTGGAGACAACAATGCTGTCTGGTTTAGATTAAATACTTTGTTCTTTTTTTAAGCGCGTGCCTTATTTCATTATTTTTCAAAACGAGACACAGGATGAAGCAATAGTTTTGCAAGGCTACATATAAATTATATTTAAGTATAATGTTCTTAAATCATGCTCATATTACTGCGCAGAATTCCAGCACTGAGGTCTGTGTTTTGCTATGTTTCTAATAGCATTTTGTAACAATGTAGGTAATCTTTTTTACTACATTATGTTCAAAGCCATACTGACTCATACAGCTGGATTTGAGAAACATGCTTATGAACCTGGAAAGAGAATTGCTAGTCAGAAGTGTATTTGACACATTGGTATGCATTTCATGTGCTACTCATTCATGGGCTATATGGTAATAAATACATAAATAATACACCAGGAATCTGTAACTAGTTCCCGAATCAGAGTTAAATTGTTATTTGAGGGTGATAATTCTAACAAGATTTACTCCGGCAATGCATTATATTCATGAAATCATTGTTTGAAATGAATAGCGTAATATGTTGTGGAACATTTCTGCCTTTCCCTCTGATGATGTGAATGAGAGGGGATCTTAGCTTGCAGAAATAAGTAAATTACAGAAATTACAGAAGGAGTGATTAGAACTCAAGGTGAAATATGGTGTGCCTTAAAATTATAGCAATTACTCAGGTTTGCCATGGGGAACAACGCTGGATGCCAAACCACCGCTGCACAGGACCCGCTCTGCACCGGCGTTCTGTCCATTTTATATGCAGATTATTCCGGATTAAATTATTTTTCAATTCTCTCCTCTTGGGGGTTTGAAGCAATGGCCTAATGTTGATATGCCAGTTTGCAGGACCTACGCACTTGACAGACAACGGGGTCTCCTACAATACAGCATGCTATTATGCCATTCTGTCTGTGTGCACTGATTACAATTCATCCACACGTTGACGTTCAGACGGTTCCACGGACTCAAGAGTGCATTTAATCACTTCTCCAGCATGGAATTGGCACCCGAACGCCCATCACATCCTCGCCTGTGGAGTGCGTAAGCTACTGCACGTCCTCATCAAGAAACCAATCAAGACCGCACTTCTCATGCGGAGGAAAAAGATTTTGCCGGGACGTTTGTGAGATAAGGACATTACTGTGTATGCAGATTAGACTGGAA